AATATAAAAAGTATTAACCAGTTATTTAAAATACTTTGTTGTTGGTGGTGGTCTAAGTGTTTGAAATCCACTTATGGCACATCTCAATTCAGACTAGCCACATTTCAAGCACTCAAAAGCCAAATGTGGCTGGTGGCCTCCTTACTAAATAGGACACACCTAGTCAGTAAGGATGATTACCGTTTACGCTTTTTTATAAATTTCAAGGGAGAGATTGGACAAGACTCACCAGTGACCCAGTGACTATTACAATATGAAGTAAGTATGTCAAAAAGTTCTCTCTTACAATTTGTCTAAGTTTGTCTCTTAAAAATTTGTTAGTAGTTTTCAGAAATTTTTCTCTTTTCTGCTGTCTGTGGGACTCCACCTCCTGTTTCGTCTTGTCTGATTTCTGCCCCCTCTGCCTTCCACAAACTCATGCTTTGTCTTTATACAGTCCATTTGCAGTGTGGACTCCTTTAGTCTTTTTAGTGTCCTGTTCCTTTTCCCTATGTATGGAATAGGCTGACTTCAAATCTGTAAACTGAACAGCCTCATTTCTTGGACTGTATCTTGGCTTTCTTCCCCCACTGTATAATTGTATTGCTTTTCTTACAAGTCAGTCTTCCTACTCTCTTGGGGTGCTCTTGGAAATGTTCTGTGTCCTGTTCAGAGTCAAGCCTTCCTTTTAATTTTGTCCATCAGAGATAGAAGAAAATATAAACAACCTAAAAAGTGGAAAGCACATTAAATAATGTCTTTTAAAGTGTTACTATCTTTCCTTTAAATTTTTTAAAAATCCTTTACTCCAAAATGATTTTTCTTTGTAGTTTTCTCCAGTGCTATATTTTGCATTCCAAGCATAGTATATACACATTGAGATACTACTTCACACCTCACTCATTGAACAAAAGCAGTATTTTAAAAGTTTACCTTTTTCAAGCTTCCAAAGTTATGCACCCAAAAATGTTAGTGATACTGAAATTCCAAACCACACTGCAAGGATACCAGTTAAAAGTACCAAAGGAAATGGCAGCTGATGATCCTTCCACCCAAAGAATTAGATTCATAATGAAGAGGTCCACAAAGATGACACTAGGGAGGGAAAGTCATAAGAAAACAATATCCTTTCAGGAAAATGCTACAAACATATTTGATGCAAATGTCGGAATATTCCTTTGGTTAGAAGGATATAATAAATTACAAGATCATACCCTAGAAGAATATTAAAATACAACATGCAAACCCAGTCACTGACCTGGGACTTAAACCATGTAATACCATATAAGAAGGTAGCAGTTTATTATAGGACCTAATTTCCACATCCTTCTCACCTTTGCACCTCCAGAGTCTAGCAGAAAATAAGGCATGGAGAAATATACCATGGAAAAACTCAGTAGGCAATGTACTGAACATAAGTAAGAAAATGCACATATTAAAAATAGAGTTTAGAATCTTACACTGAAATGGGCTCTAAGAAGGCTCAAGTCAGACAAGTACTCATTTAAAACAAAGGGTTTTAAATTAATTGCTCAACTAAGGGTATTATGTTCAGTGAAATAAGTCAGGTGGAGGAAGACAGGTACCAAAATGATCTCGTGTGTGGAGTATAACAACAAAGTGAAACTGAAAGAGCAAAACAGCAGCAGACTCAGAGACTCTTAAGAAGGGACTTAGTGGTTATTAAAGGGGAGGGGCTGGGGAAGGAAGAAGGGGATTAAGGGGCACTATAATTTGCAATCACAATATAGGTAGGTCACAGGGAAGGCCCGTACAGCACAGAGAAGACAAGTAATGACTATAGCATCTTACAACTCTGATGGACAGTGAAGGCAGTGGGGTGTGTGTGGGGGACTTGATAATATGGGTGAATGTTGTAACCATAATGTTGCTCATGTGAAACCTTCATATAAGATTGTATATCAATAATGCCTTAATAAAAAAATTAAAAATTTTTAAAATTAAAAAATAAAAAAGATTGTTATAGGACAGGTGAAAAGTGTAGTGGTTTGAGTTTTAGTGGTAACCACGGAAATGGAAATAAGTTTACATCCTTAATATTTGAATAAATCCACTTATCAGATTTAAAAGATAGCTTTGGTGTAGGAATTGAAGGAATTAAGGAAGATTCTTAGGTTTCTAGCTAGAATAGAGGATGGGTGGTATTTACTGGAAAAGTACTGTAGAAGCAATTTTGTGGTAAAGGAGGAGATGAGTTATGTTTTGGTTTAATTAAGGTGAAGGTGATGATTGACATGGAATAGATGTAATTTGATAGGTTCTGGTATTCACCTGACTTGAAAAAAGGCTGGAGATACAATTTCAGAAGACTTCAGCATAGCTGTGGTAGTGGTTTTGAGTACTTAATAGTAAAGTGAGAAGGCCTAGAACCTATCAAGGAAGAATTCCAACATTTAAGAGAGGAGGCACTGGCCGGAAGTTATGAGGAAAACCAAGAGATGGTGGTGAGACATTCTTTTCCATCTAGTGATAAGTTTGTATTTTTAATTTCTTCTAGCTTGAAGTTAGTATTATCTGTGTTGAAGAAAAGACATAACTAAGAGATAGCTCGATTCTTTTGTTCAACAAATATTTTTTGAGAATTGATTATATGAAAGGCATTGTGCTGAGTATTGGAGATACAAGGTGAATTGGTACATTTTAACTGTATCAGTCTCAGAAGTTGTTAGCTAGCACCTTGAAGGTATCACTGAGTCCTGATTCTTTTAACTGATAATTTTTTGGTTCCAGAAACATGAGTTTTATCTATTTTCCTAGAGATGAGTAGAGAGTTAATTCATACTAACCAGACATAAGAGTACAGCTGGTAAACTTTCACTATATTAATTTACAGTGAAAAATGTAAATGTCAGCTGCCCAACAGTGCATTTTCTCCCCTCTGAAAAAGCCAGAATATTGTTTATCGACAAGTTGAACACTCTAAATATATAGTTTCTTCAATATATAATAGTCTGTGTAAACTTTTCTACTATGTGATATACCTGCCAGAGCAATAGGTAAGTAGACTCATTGATAAAATCGTATCAGTCTTTTTCTCTTCTTTTTCCAGGTATCACTACCAAACCATGCACAGACACCCACTCTTATACCTTCTTCCCTTACCCTTTCTTGCTTCCCTTTGGTAAATACAAATAAATTCAGAAAATTGTATGTTAAAAATGTGATGGTGCCAAATTTAGTTTTACTATTTTGTCATTGATTTGTTTTGAATCCAGTTGTCTGCAGTATCTTGACTAGTCATGCTCAGGTAAGCATATAAACCCCTCAGAAAATTGGAACATGTTGGATTCTCATTCCTACCATAGATACATATGAGAAGTTAAAATGTGGATCAGATGTGGGTTGTGAGACAGAATTGAAAATGACTTCAAGGTTGGTTGGTTTTTTTAAATGTGATTAACTAGAATAGTGTCGCCTTTGACCGTGAAAGGAAAAACTGTAAGAGGAATGGATTTGAGGGAAACAATAGATGTTCTGGCTGATAAACTGGAGATGATGCCTGTTGTACTTCATGTGAGGACTGATGTTGATTAGGCAGCTAAATATACGATTCTCGAGTTTAGAGGAGTCATTCTGACTTTAGGTTACATTTGCATGTTTTGGGCATTGTTGATGATATTTAAAGCCATGAAATGAAATGAGAGCACTGCATAGAGAAAAGAAGATCTGGGACTAAGCCCAGGACATACATAGGCAGTGAAGTATTGGAAATGAGGAGCCAACAAAAGAGAAGGAGCGGTTAGAGGAAATTCAGGGGAATAGTATTCTAAAAGCCAAGCGAAGAGTGTTTAAAGAGTGAGAGAGCAAGCACAGCAAGTGCTGAAGAAAGGGACTGGATGGATTACAGAGGCATGAGGAAATAAGGGGGCAGCTGATGATATGTTCGTTGTCTTGATTTGTGATGGTGATAATTTTATGGGTTTATACATAAGTTCATAAATTGTACATGTTATTTATGTGCAGTTTATTGCATGTCACTTATATTTCAGTATAGCTCCTCTTAAAAAATTTAATATCCATTTGTGATTTAAAAAAAAAAAAAAGAATATGATCAGCTGTCAAATGCTTTTGATAGGTCAAGTTCAGATCTGACCATAAGAAATGGAATAGCAGCATCCTTGGTGACCTTAAATAGAATACCATCAGTGGAGTTGTGGGGATAGAAATGTGATCTGTGTGAATTCAAGTGAGAATGGGAAGAGAGGGCATATTGACAGAGTATGGACAACTTCTTAAAGAGTTTTCTGTAAGGAGATGTTGGAAAATGATACTGAAGGGAGATGTGAAGTCAAGAGGAAGCTTTTTGCTTTTTGTTTTTAAGAAAGGAAAAGTAACAACTTAAAAAGATAATAGCTTGTTTTTATGCTGATGGAATTAATCAGCAGAAAGGGAAAAAATGATGCTATATGAAAAAGAAAAATTGTTGGCAAACAGAAGAATTGCTGGAGTGATACCAATATATTCCTTCTCTGCCATTGGTCTTGAGAATTCTGGTCATAATTACAAAATTAATTTCTAAATCTCTTTTGATATGCTCTTTGCTTATTTGTTTATTTTAAAACTATGTGTTTTATGGATCACTTTTGAACATATCTTTACTTAAAGTCATACATTTTTTTAAGTGTAGTAATTACCATATTTGATATTTCTCATCTTGTTTATTCTTAAGATTGACATTTATTATACATTGGTGTCTCATAGTTTATCTCATGCAATCATAATACCCATGCCTCTTCAAATAAAATATAGATCTTCCAATCCAGCACTTGTCAGCATGACTGTGATAAATAAACTACCATGATCAGTTGTTAAGAATTTTAACAGGATATGTTCTCCCTATAAGGTAAATGTGAAATAGTTTTACTGAAGATTTTGATGAAGTAAATTTTGAGGTTGAGTTGATTGCTTTGGAGGTAGAAAAAAGTTGATGGAATTTTTGCTTGGGGGTGCAGTTCCTTCAAATTTTCTGTTTGATAACTCTGACGTAACTATTTCCATAGGTGTTGGGAAACCCAGGAGCTTTCAAAAGAAGCCTGTTATTCTCAGCCTTGTATTATATGGGCTTTGAAACTTACCAAGCCATTTCTCGGGCTGCTGTGGTTCATGCCACAGCCAAAGGTAAGCCATAATACAATAACATGTATTATGTACTGCATTCTTACAGTGAAGTAGGCTAGAGAAGATAAAATGTGTTTTCAAATTGTCTCAAATCTCAAAAACACTTTTCCCAATATGTTCTTGAAAAATATCAGCCAGTACCTGCACAGTTCAAACCTATGTTATTGTAGTTAACTGTATACACACCACTCACTCACACACACGTCTATGTATATAGAATTTCTTCTAGCAGCTAGAGCTCCTTGAGTGAGAAACACTCTGTTAATACTTACTAGTTTTATATGACCCTTAAGGGGGAAAAATAGCACAGAAACCATTTCTGACCCACAAAGCCTTAAATATTTACTCCGTGGATCTTTATAAAAAAGGTTTGCCAACCCCTACTTTAGGATTATACAATGGTTCTTCTGTTTCTTTAATGCCAACATGTTATACCCTTCTTGAAATATTACGAAAGGCCCAGTTACTTTAAGATAGAAGTATTTTATTTGCAAACAATGCAATTTGGTACTAAATATCAAGTAACTGGTTGAAAATTAGAAAAATGCCATCAAATTTCTTATTTGGCATTATAGGGAAGTAACATTATGACTTCCCATATTTTAAAAATTAAATTTAATTAAACCAGTTGTGTATGTAGACAGAGCAAAAATTTCAGTATACTTGAGAAAAACTCTTAATTCGTGGACTAAAAGCTTTTTTTTGTTTTTCACAATCCCCACTTTTTAATCATTAAGAGGGTGATGAGGAAAGAAGCAGATACTTAATTTTGAGTAGATGTTCTTATTAAAGTTCTGATAGATGAAGAATTTGAGAATATTAGTGGGACATTTCTAGTTACTGATTTCATTTATTCATGACTGTTATCTTTAAAAAAGCAGATAATTGAGAATGGTTGCTTTTATTTTTTCTCTTTTTTTAGTGTATCATTTTCATGAAAGGCAAAGTTGAGGACATGGTTTTATCAGTGGCTCAGTGAGATATTTTACCAATACTTACAACAACTCAGCTTTTTAAAGCTCCCTTGACATTTCACCATAACTTTAGTTCTCATAGCAACCTTGTAAAGTAGTTAGGACAAGCAGATTTATCACATTATATTAATTTTTTTAGTTTATCCTTGATCTGCCGTGTGGTTGCACTTCTAAGATTTTTATGTCTGTGTGTGTACCATTATAGTACTAATTTTTGAAAGGCTCACATAGTTAAGCTTCTTCAAAGTGTCAGAGCAGAGATTAGAGTTCTTATGCATCTTTTTTGGGTAATATTGAAAATCATTAATTTAAAGATGGACATGTTTTGCCTCACATCAAGGCATCTGTTACAGTTTCAGTGTTCATTTCATTAAAGAAGTGCAAAGCAGCAAAATATGGCACTTTGAAAGGCAAAGCCAAAATTCCTTCTAAGCTTAATGATTTTTAGTCCATTTTTTCAGAACTGTCTTCATGATAAAAAAGTACTGCATATTCAGTAAAGTAAAAATACTTTTTTAAGGCGCTAAACCCTGTTGAGGCCTATATGAGCTGGGGGTGGACTTGTGCAGCCACAGTAGTGGGGGGTGAGGAGGACATAAGACTGACCACTGGCCCCTTACTTTGTGTGTCAAGGAACTTTGGTGTGGCTTTCCTTCATTCTCTCTCTCTACTTACTGAGTGAGTGGCCATGAATTGGGCTTGAGAGTCCTGTGGCCCAGTCAGAGAGTAGGGGCTGTAAGAGTGAATTTTCTTTGCTGGGGGATGGCTCTGTGTCCTGACCAGGCGGATCACATCCTGCTCTGGGACGGTTGGCCTTTCACCCACGATTCTAAGATGGCGACTGTCAAGTGTGACTTTACTTAGAATGTCACTTCGGAGGAGACTATTCATTTCAGTAAGATGTCCATTATAGGAATTGGGTTGGTTGGCATGGCCTGTGCTATCAGCATCTTATTAAAAGGCTTGGCTGATGAACTTGCCGTTGTGGATGTTGATGAAGGCAAACTGAAGGGTGAGACAGTGGATCTAAAACATGGCAGCCCTTTCATGAAAATGCCAAATACTGTTTTCAGCACAGATTATCTTGTCACTGCAAACTCCAACCTAGTGATTATCGCAATAGGTGCACGCCCAAAAACAGGAGAAACATGCCTTGATGTAGTCAAGCAAAACATATCCATTTTTAATGTTTTCCAGTATTACCCAATATAGTCCCCACTGTATATGGATAATGATTTCTGATCCAGTGGTCATCTTAATTTATGTAGCTTGAAAGTTAAATGCATTTCCCAAAAACCATATTATTGGAAGTGGCTATAATCTGGACACTGCCCATTTCCATTTCTTTATTGGGCAAAGGCTTGGTATCCACTCTGAAAGGTTTCATGGGTTGGATCCTTGGAGAGCATGGAGACTCAAGTGTACCTATGTGGAGTGGCGTTAACATTGCTGGTGTCCTTCTGAAGGATCTGAACTCAGATACAGGAATGAATAAATATCCTGAGCAGTGGAAAATGTCCATAAACATGATTATCTGTGGCTGTGAGGTCGTTAAAATGAAAGGGTACACTAATTGGGCCATTGGCCATCAATGGCTGATTTAACTGAAAGCATTTTGAAGAATCTTAGGAGGGTGCATCTGGTTTCTTCCTTAAGTAAGGGCCACTGTGGAATAAATGAAGAAGTATTCTCTAGTGTTCCTTGGATATTGGGAGATAATGAAATGGTATTGCAAGACTTACAAAGGTAAAGCTGACCCCTGAAGAGGAGGCCCGTTTGAGAAAGTATGCAGAAAAACTGGAAAACTCAAAAGGATCTCAAGGTTTAAAGTTGTTTAAAGCTACTGTTCTGAAGTTGTTGATGAAGAGATTGTGGTTAGAGAATTGTATATTAAATTTTTGAAAAAGCTTGAATTCTTTGAAGTTGGAAAAATGAAATGGGATAGAGTGACTCCTGTCCTCTATGTCATTTAGCATCCAGATGCTTGATGATACTTGTGTTTTACATTCCTAAAGGACTCCACCAAAGATGTTTTTTGTGCCTCTGCTGTATTGATACTTGCTGTGTGTGTGTGTGTGTGTGTGTGTGTGTGTGTGTGTGTAGTTGCCAATTGATCTAAAAGAATATATGATGTATGTGTTTATTGTGTTACAGAAATTCTGATTCTTTCACCAGTACATGCTAATTCCTTTGCTCTGGCTGGCTTATATCTATGTTCACTTATATACTGTTAAGAAAATGATAACTTCCTTTACAAATTTAAAAGTATGTACACACAAAAATAACTCTTAATGTTAGTTCCAATCCCAGCACCAAGTAAAACCGTGGTTTGACCTTGAAAAAAAGTCTTATATTCTAAGGTGTAACTTATCTGAAAACTAAATTTTTGTTTTTATTACAGATTTTAGTGAAAACTACCTTATATTTTAGAATTTTCTGTATTTTTTAGACATTTTTTGAGCACTTAAAATTAGTGCAAATGAAGAGCTGTCTTGGTCCTGGGGTGGCTGCATCATTTATTTTTATTTGTTTGGTAAATGCTATCTCTTAACTTAGTAAAATGAAAGAAAAGACACTAAAATTATACCTGTAGGATCAATGAATAAGCATGTCATATTAATATCTACTATAATAATTTGGTAGGAAATTTTCTTCGGATATTACAAATATCCAAAATATAAGTTTAACACATTAGTCATGAGGTATGTAATATTTTAACAAAAATGATCTGTAACCTAAATTTAGTAAAACACTTTCTATTTCAAAAGAATGAGTAATGTTAATATTAAAATGACTACATAAGGGGTTTATCCCAAATAAATATTGTGACTTTATATTACCACTGTTGTAGGAAATAGGTTGAGGTGGATACAGGTTGTCTACTAAAGACTGTAATTTGCCAGTTGTTCTTTGTTATGTAATAAATAGAATCCAAGGTACAAAAGAAGAGAATGCAAAGAACAGTGTGGATATTGATTTAGTCTGCCTTGATTTTCTTTAGCTTTGTTTTCTTAAAACAAACAAAACATTTATAATTAGTTGATAGGCATTTTCATGTAATATGATTTGTGAGACTAGGCCACAGCCCTTGAAAAAGCATCAATCACTGATAAAATATAGAAACCAGATTTTCTTCTAACTTAGAAAATTTTGTGTTCCCATAAAATTATAACTTATTGGTCCTTACAAGTTTTACTTTGTCATATGTTTCTTGCATTTGCTAAGCTGTAATCCTTCATACTTTTTAGGAATTGGTCTTCAAATAATTCTACTTCTCTAAATTCTGCTTAGTTCTCTTTAAATCTGCTTCATGCTCATTGAAGCCAATTAAAAACTTTTTTCCTCCATTTACTGGAGTTAAATCATATTCTGAAGTGAGATATATTTAGACATTAATTTAAGAGCATATATATTTTTGGCATTTCAGTTGGATGGGATTGTAGGACTTATTCTTTAATTGGTAATGTCTATATTTACTACAAGCTAATGCCAAATACCCACTTGTCAGCAGTAATGAAGCACTCCAAATAGAAAGTTTATCATTATTTCCTTAAAAATGTAATGTCCCTCAGGATATGCTAATACCTTCACAGTACTCTGTGTGTGTATGAAAGTTCACTGGTAGAATGCTTCAAAGATAATTACAAATGACTCTGTTTAAGGTTTCTACATATAATTACTTCAGTTATATCTTCATATACTTTTATTGATTCCTCTTTACTGAGGAATCTATAAAAAGGTCGGGGCTCCTTCATATGCATTTCTTTGTACTACAGAATTTTTAGAGGCACTGCTTCCAGTACTGCTGAGACACAGTATTGTTAGTGAGAAAAATTTCCCTTAAATTTTGATAATGTGGCTGCTACTTAGAGCCTTCAGGTATCTAGGAAAATCTTAGAGTAGGAAATCTCGATATTCATTTTCTACTTTGTAAGTCCTATATGGAGAGACTTCAGAACTGGAGCTGTTTTGCATGTCCCTATACTTCCTGTCTGGCTAAGAGTACCCTTAGCAAGAAAAACTAGAAAACCAAAGTTTACTAACTTACATATATGCAGTAGGTCACATCATAGACATTAAAAAAAAATTCTAATAGTTTTTATGATCTCATGCATATTCATTTTAGACTAAATTTAGGATGTCACTGTATAGTTGTAGGTGAATTACTATCTCAGTTCAATTTGGGATGTTTATTCATTACATAAGTTGAAAAGTAATTTGCTTTAAATAAAATAGTGCATTTTATAGAATATGGTCTCTTTATATCAGTAACATAGTGTATTTTTTAAATATTTCTAGGAAAAGTACAGAATATTAAATAAATAAAAAGTACCCCACACAACTAATTTGCAGATTTGTGAGTGGTCTACATGCTCCCATCCTAATGCCTGTGTGAGTCTGTAGTGTCTGAGTAAATGCATTTTTTTTCTTATAAATTTGCACACTGTATGATTTTAGAAATTTCTGTTTAGAATAAAAAAAAAGATTTAAAGCCTGGATGCTGTAGCTTTACTGTATAATAAAGAAATAAGTGATTTAAGAAGTTGTAAAAGAATTATTGCACACAAAGCTTTAAATTATTTTAAGTTCACTAAATTTCAACATTTTTCTTTATATAGGTGATAAAATGTCGAATTCTTAGATCATGTTATGGACAGTAATCTCTTCATCATTCTTCTTAGGGAGTCAGAATAAACAATGAATAGAATTAAATGTAAGTTTAGTACTTATACATACTATGTGTACATTCAAATATGCCAGATCAATATATTTAATATTACATAAGTTTATACTGCTGTAACAAATTACCACAGACTTTGTGACTTAAAACAACACAAATTTATTACTTTACAGTTCTGTAGTTCAGAAGTCCACAATGGGTCCCACTGAGTTATATCAAGGAATTGTCAGTGCTGTCTTCCTTTCTGGCGTCTCTAGGGGAAAATCTGTTTCCTTATTTTTTCCAGTTCCTAGAGTCTTTCTGTATTCCTTGGCTAAAGGCCCTTTTCCTTCATGTTCAAAGCTAGCAATCATTTCGCTCTGACCTGTTTCCACTGTCCTATCTCTGACTTTCTTCTGCCTCTCTTTTCTAGTTTCAAGGATGCTTGTGATTATATTGGGCCCACCTGGCTAATTCAAGATAATTTCCTATTTTAAGGTTAGTTTATTAGCAACTTTAATTCCATATAAAACCTTAGTTCCCCCTTTGCCCTGTAACCTTTACATTTTCACATGTTCCAGGGATTAAGATGTGGACATGTTTGGGGCCATTATTCTGCTAACCACAGAGAGCAACTGAGAAAGTTGAGACTACTAATAGTTCTTTTTAAGAATCTTTGGGTCGCTACAACCTTAATTTGTAGATTCAGCCACTGATAAAAAATGTAGAATAGCATGGAAGTAAACTTGAGAAAATCAACCAGCCATGTGAAAATTGTGAAACTATAGCATCTAACCAGATTGAAATAGGATTAAAGAGGGTGAAAAAAATCTTACTTTAGAGATCCTTTGCTATTGTCATTTAATTTTTTAGTATAATTATGTATGATTTTGACTTTAAAAAATACTTCACTTTACATTAGTTGTGTCATAGTTCATGAGGGTTTTCTTTTTCTTGTCTAGATTTTAATTTTTCAAAAGCTTAAATTTTTTTGATGTTAAGTACACTATGATTAATTAAAGCATACCAAGATAAATAATAAACATTGAAATATTATCTTACATGTAGGACTAAGTAATACAGCACTCTTACAAAAGACAAAATTAAATGTGTATGTTGTATTGTAGTAATTGGAATATCCTAAAATTCAGACTTACTGTTTTCTTTTTCAATAACTAGTAAACTTTTTGAGCATTAGACTGTAAGGTTTATGTGTGTTGTAGTTTCTAAACTAGTTAATGAATTGGTTGGAGCCAGTGCCATTGAGGTGAGTTTCAGATTCTCTGTGTAACTTCATCTAAGTTTCTAATGACAGATTTGACTTTTTCTATAACAGTGTCTGTGTAAGTTAGGTCATAAAGAGAATCTGTTAAGACTATATGGTAGAGTCCATACAAATTAATAATCTTCAGTGCCAAAAATGAAATGCTGTCATTTTCTATAGTGGGTCGTGGAATCAGCAGTAGCAGCAGGAGTGTGGAATGGTCAGAGTAAAAAACATGCTGCATAGTCAGGACCAGAGTAAGTCCTCTGGTGTTTCATTGTCCATAGCTTCAGTAAATAAATCACTTACTATGATAGTGTCATACTATTTTCTACTACACTTAACATCTAGATTCTTCATAATTTATGATCTTTCTTTTTAGGTGATTTCTGTATCTGCTTTCTTTTGCTTGTATATAAAAGTATTTATGTTTCTTAGACTTATTGCCGTCTAGTTTGGGAAGATCTACTTTGTTGTGTTTTTTTTTCTTTTATAGTCTTTGGAGTTGAAGAAATCCTTGAACAGGCAGACTACTTGTATGAAAGTGGAGAAACAGAAAAACTTTATCAGTTGCTAACCCAATACAAGGAAAGGTGGGCAATGTATGACAGACTTGAGTTTGCAGTTTCGTCAAAATTTTTGTGTTATTTAACAATTAAAATGATTTTTGGAGCTTGAAATACAATGTTTTTAAGTTTTTACTTCAAAATAATATTCCTTAGGGTTTAATTTATAGTATGTTTTTTCATTCTTACATTAAGTATGCCAAAAGTGCTACATGTATCTCATTGATTTAGAAAGGTAGTTCTGTTTATGCATTCTAGTAGAGTGCTGAAAGATTTTTTTCCATTTTGTAATTTTGTTCTGGATCATACAGGGTAGTCATTTGATTATATGTTTATCTCATTTATCTATATTTTATATTTCTCATTCCTTTAAGATAATTTAAAATACAATGTTTTTAAGTTTTTACTTCAAAATAATATTCCTTAGGGTTTAATTTATAGTATGTTTTTTCATTCTTACATTAAGTATGCCAAAAGTGCTACATGTATCTCATTGATTTAGAAAGGTAGTTCTGTTTATGCATTCTAGTAGAGTGCTGAAAGATTTTTTTCCATTTTGTAATTTTGTTCTGGATCATACAGGGTAGTCATTTGATTATATGTTTATCTCATTTATCTATATTTTATATTTCTCATTCCTTTAAGATAATTTCTTATCAGTATAAGATATAAATGAATTAAGATAATTGCATGCCACCATTGAATGGTATGTATCACTATAGAAGCACGGTCTTTAAGAGAAATAAATACCTCCTTTTTTGTATGTTTAGTATTAGACTAGATGTTTAGTCGAGTATCAGTGTGTACTCATATTTTTTTTGTAGGATGGAATCGGACAGAGATTCAGCTCTTTAAAATAAGTCAAAAAGGCGAGATGGTATTTCCAGATCACTAATCTGCTTGATCTCCTAAACTAAAAATATTTGAGTCATTCTCAGCTACTATTCTTAATATTCCTAAAATTAGCTTTCTGCTCAAGACTCATCAATTTTAATTTCTAAATTTAGTTTCTGTGGGATCCATCTTTCCTTCTCCATTCTCCCCTCAGTAACTTGAAGTGTTGGTTTGGTATTTTATTGTCATTTTACTGATTACCTGAAAAGTAAGCTATAAGGTAGTTACTCCATATTCATTGAATTATGAATATACTATTGCTACCCTTAGTTTCAAAATTTGATGTGAATACTATTTTTCATTAAGAAATATGTAGTAAAAAAATAATATAGTAGGCTTAAAGGTAAAAATTTAAAAAAAAAGGAATTTGAAGTTTTAAAAGTATTCCTAACTCTTATTTGTGGTTGCTATTTTACTTATTAACCATTTATTTTATATAATCATATTTAAATAGCAGTTCTTCAAAGAAGTCCAGTGTGCCCTTGAAGTATTCCAAGCATCATGGCCTGGATGACATATTCCAGCATAGGATGTAGTTTGAGATAATATTATATTCAGTCATCAACAGATATTTATCATATACCTGTTGTGTGCCAGGTACTGTATTGGGGGCTAAGGATATAGCAGTTTAGTTCTTTAGAGAATGACCCTGTCTATAAAGTTTGTGCATCTTATGAACTATCTCAACCAGTTAGTTGTCTAAAGCACAGTGCCAGTGAAGTCAGGCCTCAAGTTACACATTAAATTTTGTAGGCAAGTATATAGATAATTTAAATATAAAGATTTTCTAAGGAAAGTATTTTAGATACTATAGGTAAGTTAATATTTATGTGTACATAATATTTGATATTTGGTAGGAAATTTTAGCAAAGTTATATGAAAGAAAAGATTAAATTTAACATTATGAATAATGGCTTTTGATATATTACTTGCTATATCCTCTGTGAGGAAGAACCTTATGTATTCAGTAGTGATGTGACCTTTAACAGTTTTTGAGTTTGAGCTAAAATGATTGCTTTATATTTATTTCAAATTAGTGAAGATGCAGAGTTACTGTGGCGGTTGGCCCGGGCGTCACGTGATATAGCTCAGCTTAGCGGAACCTCAGAAGAGGAGAAAAAGCTCTTGGTGTCTGAAGCCTTAGAGTATGCAAAAAGAGCCCTAGAAAAAAATGAATCAAGCTTTGCAGCTCATAAGGTGAGGTGTTTAAAGTAATGAAACTGTTACCATGTACTAAAAGGTACATTGGTCTAAACTTATCTATTAACCCTACTTTACATGGGAAAGAAAATTGCTCTATTTGAGGAAGTATGGAAGAGATTTATTGTAATATTTCTTCAAAAAAATTTTTTTTCTTTGCATAAACATGTTTTAATTTTATTATAGTGGGTTTGATGAATTATTTTGTGAATGCTTATTTTTAAGCAAAAGTGTTAATATCATAAATTACCTTTATCTTTATTCCTACTAGTACAAGCACTTGACAAATGTTTTCTCATTTTCTTCACAATATATTTCTGTTTTGTGTGAAGGTAAGAATATGGTAGCTGAACAACTGAGACCTAATATAACCTTTTACATGTAATTACACTAGTTTCTAGATTTCCTAACTGGTTTAGAATGTTTTTTACTGGACACTGGGGAGACTAGAGGATGTTACTGGTATTTTGGATTAGGACATCACTGTATCATTTTGGACTGTCCTCAGTGGATCTCCTGTCATTCTCACAACCAAATTCTGTCTCCACGCATTTCCTTTAGGGGGTCTGTTCCCTGCCCTCTCCCTTTCCCCCTATTACTGGTTTATATTAAGGAAAAAACAGATACAAATCCTTTAAATTTGTTCAGACTTGTTTAAGGGCCAGAGTACTGTCCATCTTTATACATGTTCTTTGTGCACAATAAAAAGAAGATGTTTATTCAGCTGCTGTTGGGAGTATCTGATAAATGTCATTCAGAGCAAGTTGATTAATAGTATTGTTCAAGTCTTCTATATCCTTACCGATTTTCTGTCTACTTGTTCTGTAAATTGTTCAGAGAGATACTTTGAAATCTCCAAATATAATTGTAGATTTCTATTTTTCTTTGTAATTTTATTAGTTTTTACAAAATGTATTTTGAAGTACGTTATTAGGATTACAAATATTTAGACTTATATTTTTCTGATGCATTGACATCTTTATCACTGTAAAATGATCCTCTTTACCTCTAGAAATATCCTTGGCTTTACAGTCTAGTTTGATACTAATGTAGCTACTCTTGTTTTCTTATGGTTAATGTTAGCTTGGTATATATCCTTTTCTGTTCTTTTAACTTATATTAACTTATCTTTATGTTTAACTTATACTTCTTGTAAGGTGATAAGTCTTTTTATATTATTTTATATGCTACACATTACATAAAAATGCACCATTGTAATGTGCATATGTCAGTGGCTTTTAGCATATTCAGTAAGTTGTGCAGCCATTACCACTAATCCATAACACTTCCATTATCCCAAAAATAAACTCAATACCGATTACCAGTTAGTCCCAATCCTCACCTGCTCCTGTCCCCTGTCAAACACTAATTTACTTTCTGTCTCTGAATATGCCTATTCCAGACATTTCGTATAAATGGAATCATACAGTATGTGGCCTTTGTGTGTCTGGCTTCTTTGAATTACCATAGTATTTTTAAGGTTCATCCATGTTGAGCATGTGACAGTACTTTATTCCTTTTTGTGGCTGAATAACATTCTGTTGTATGGACATACCACTTGTTTATCCTTTCATCAACTGGTAGGCATTTGGGTTGTTCTCACTTTTTTGCTATTATTAATGCTGCTATAAACAATTCTCTACAAGTTTTTGTGTGAACACCTTTCAGTTCTCCTTTTCTTTTTTTGGTTTCAAATTGAGGTAAATTCACAAAACATAAAATGTAAAGTGTATGATCCAGTGACATTTAATGCACATATTGTGTTTGCCACTGTTATCTCTGTCTAGTTCCAAAACATTTTTATCAGCCCCAAAAGGAAATCCTGTACCATTAAGCAGTCACTCTCTCTTCCCTCTCATTCCCAACCTCTGACAACCCACTTATCTACTTTCTGTCGCTATGGCTTTATTTATTCTGGATATTTCATAGAAGTGGAATCATACAAGATAATTTGTGTCTGGCATATCTTAACCATGTTTTTGAGGTCCTTCCACATTGTAGCATGTATCAGTACTTTGTTCCTTTTTATAGATGAATAATATTCCATTGTATGGATATACCACATTTTGTTTATGCATTCATTAGTTGATGAACACTTGGGTTATTTCTACTTTTGACTATTGTTTATAGTGTAGGTATTAACATTCATGTACAAGTATTTGTTCATATACCTGTTTTCAGTTCTTTTGAGTATATGCCCGGGAGTGGAATTGCTGGGTCATATGGTAATTATAAGTCATTCTTTTTGAGAAACTAATTGTTTTCCAAAGCAGCTGTACCATTTGACATTGCTGTCAGCAATGTATAAAGTTCCAGTCTATTTAGTTCCTTGTCTAGACTTGTTATTGTCCATTTAAAAAGTTATGGCCATCATAATGGGTGTGAAGTGATATGTCATCATGGTTTTGACTTGCATTTTCCTAATAACTAATGATGTTAAGCATCTTTTCATGTGCTTATTGGACATTTGTATATCTTTGGAGAAATGTATTCAAACTCTGCCCATTTTTAAACTGGGTTGTTTGTCCTTTTATTGGTTGTAAGAGAATATATTCTGGATAGTAATCCCCTGTTAGATAAGTGATTTGCAAATATTTTCTCCCATTCTGTGGGTTGTCTTTTCATTCCCTTGATAGTGTTCTTTGACGCACAAGTTTTTAATCTTGATTCAGCCTAATTTTCTTTGCTTGTGCTTTTGGTCATATCTAAAGATTGCCCAACGAAGGCTATGTACATTTTCACTCAAATTTCTTTCTAACAGTTTTATATATTTTAGCTCTTACATTTACATATTTGATCCATTTGAGGTTAACTTTTATACATGGTAAGGTAAGAGTCCAAATTCACTCTTTTGCATATAAATATCCAGTTGTCCTCACACAATTAGAAAGGACTATTTTCCATTGGATGGTCTTGACATCTTTGATGAAAATCCATTGAACATAAATGTATGGGTTTATTTTTGAACTCTCTATTCATTTGGTCTCTGTGTATCCTTCTGCCAGTATTACAATGTCTTGATTACCATAGTTTTATAGTAAGTTTTGAAATAAGAAAGTATGAGTCCTCCAACTTTGTTCTTTTTCAAGACGGTTTTGACTCTTCTGAGTCCCTTGAATTTCCATACAAATTTTAGGATCAGTTTGTAAATTTCTGCAAAGAAGCCAGTTGTATTTTTGATAGGGATTTATTTAATATGTTGATGAGTATGGGAACTATTGCCATCTTAACAATATTATGTCGTCCAGACAAATCCATGACCACATCATGTCTTTCCACTTATTTATATATTTTTTCCTTTCAACAGTGTTTTGTATTTTTCAGTGTGTAAGTCTTGGATGACTGGTTAAATTTATTCATAAGTATTTTATTCTATTGATGCTGTTAGAATTGATTTCATTTTCAGATTGTTTATTGCTAGTGTATAAGGAATGCAACTGAATTTTTTATACATTGATTTTATATCCTGATTCTTTGCTGAACTCATTTATTGGTTCTAGTTTTAGGGTTTATTTTGTTTTCGTTTTTTGGTAGAATCTTTAGGGCTTTCTATGTAAGGTCATATTATCTATAAATATAATTTTACTTTTTTCTTTTCCCATGTTGCCTTTTATTTCTTTATCTTGCCCAATTTTCCTGGCTAGAACTTTCAGTACAATGTTGAATAGAAGTGGTAAGAGTAGATATGTTGTTTTGTTCCTGATTGAAGGGGAAAAGCTATTAGGCTTTCACCATTAACTGTGATGTTAGTTCTGGGTTTTCCATTGATAGTTTTTATCGGATTGAGAAAGTTCCCTTCTATTGGTAGTTTGTTGAGTATTTTTATCATGAAAGGGTGTTGAGTTTTGTCGAATGCTATTTTTCTGTGTGTGTTCAGATAATAATGTCAGTTTTCTTTTATTAATATGGTATACTACATTGATTGATTTTCACATGGTGAACCAAATTTGTATTCTGGGATAAACGCCTCTTGGTTATCATGTATTATCCTTTTTATATGCTGTCATTATTTTGTTGAGAATTTTTGCATTTATATTAATAAGAGACATTGGTCTTTAGTTTTACCCCCACCCCAGTTTTATAGAGAAATAATTGACATACATCAATGTGTAAGTTTGAGGAATACAGCATGATGGTTGGATTTATATACATTACAAAATGATTACCACAATAGGTTCAATTAACAAACATTTCTCAGATACAATAAAAAGAAAAAAGAAAGAAATTTTCTCCTTGTGATGAGAACTCTGAACATTTACTCTCTAATAACTTCCCTATATGTCATATGACAGTGTTAGCTATAGTCATCATGTTGTATGTAATATCCTTAGTACTTTATAACTGAAAGTTTGTACCTGTTGACTACCTTCCTCTAATTCCTCCTCTGGTAACCACAAGTCTGATCACTTTTTCTATAAGTTTGGGTGTTTTTTAGATTCCACATATAAGATTATATGTCTTTCTCTGTGCTGACTTAATTTCACTTAGCCTTCATGCTCATCCATATTGTCACAAATGGCAGGATTTCCTTGGTTTTTATGGCTGAATAATATTCTAGTCTGTATGTGTGTATGTGTGTGTGTATGTTGTATACATATATAGCCATTTCTTTACCCATTCATCCATTAGTAGACATTTAGGTTGTTTTTGTGTCTTTGCTATTATAAATACTACTACTATGAATATGGGGCACAGATACCTTTTTAAGTTAGTGTTTACATTTCCTTTGAATATATTCCCAGAAGCAGAATTGCTGGATCATGTAGTAATTCTGTTTTTAATTTTTTGAGGATTCTGTATGTTCTTTTCCATAGTGGCTGTATGGGTTTACATTCCCATCAGCAGTGCACAAGTTTCCTCTTTCTCCACCTCACTAAGAGTTGTTTCTTGGTGCTTTTATAATAACCATTCAAAAAAGTGTGATGTGGTAATCTAATTGTGGTTTTATTTGCATTTCCCTAATGACCAGTGATGCTGAGCATCTTTTCAAGTACCTG